AGAAATAGTGACTATCTTATAAAATATAAAACTTTAAATATTTTATAGCCACTTGTGTTTGTCCTATTATGTAATTATCATGAGCATGCATTTCTTGCAATGCTCCTGTTTTGGGCCCCTGCCTCCTCTGTTTGCCTTTTGCCTCAATTCATTTCTGAAGAGAGTACAAGATCATTTATATTGTTGACACTTCAAATATGTAAATTCTCTTAACTATCTGCCTTTTTTTTCGAGTGGGGGGAGGGATTTTAAAAAAATTCAAGCATAGTGATTTACAGTTATTCCTAGTTGAGTTTTAGATGTACAATATTACATCAATGCTTCCCTGCACCAATGTTCTCAGGGTTGCTCCCACCTCTGTGCCCCAAATCCCCTCAGCCTGCCCTCTTCACAGGCACCTCTCTAGATTTGACTGTTAAAGTTTGGGTCTGCTGACGCTGTTGTTTGGGTATTTGGTGCTGTCATTCCTACCCCACCTTGGTACCTGGGTGCCCTGCCACATCTGAGAGAAGTGCCCTATCTCCCCTGGGGACTGAGCAGCCGAGCTGACTGCAGAGTGTCTCACGCCCTCTCCCCAGCTTGGTCTGTGTACTCTGCAGTCTCAGTTTCTTTACTACTGCAGTGTTTGTCCGAGACTGCCAGTGGGGACCCAGGGGGAGCAGAAAGAACAGTTTGGGGATCTGATCTTGAGACTGAAGCCTGGGGCATGAGGCAGGAGGTGACTTGGTGGCTTCTCTAGTCCGTTTCCTTCTATGTAAAGGGGCAACTGAGATTCTGCAAGCAGAAGGCAATTATACTATCAAGCTATGTCTGGCATGGTAATTTTGCCTGTTTGTTTGGAGTCCATGCCAGTGCTAAGGGGCTACTCCTGGCTCTGTGCTCAGGGGTCACCTGCAGCAGGGTCCAGGGGACCATTCTGTGCCCTGAATGGCTCAGGGATCAGATAGATAAAGCTTGTATTCACCCCTCTGAGCAAATTCCCTGAAACTAGCATTTTATATTTTATTTATTTATTTTGGTTTTTTGGGTCATACCCAGCAATGCACAGGGGTTACTCCTGGCTCTGTACTCAGATGATGGGGGCTATGTGCTATGGGCTATAATGCTAGGTTGGCCATGTGCAAGGCAAATGCTCTACCTGCTGTGCTATTGCTCCAGCCCTTATATTTATTTTTATTAATTTAATTTAGTTTTAATTTGATTGTAGTTTTAGGGATTGACCAGTGCTTCATACCTGCCAGGTCTCTTATCCTAGCTCTAGTGTTTGTTTTCATTGGTGTTTTAATGGAAAGGTTGAAGCTTCTCCTGACAGGTAAGTCACCTGGCTGTGAGTAGAACACCAGGGAACCAGAGAAAGGGTCTACACAGGCAGGGCTCAAACTTCAGTGAGAGTCCCTTTCCTAAAGGGAAATAGCAAAAAAGTTGCCACCGCTGTATTTCATTCCTTCCCTACTTAATAATTAGTGCTCCATCTAAGTATTTTCCTGGTTGGCAATTTTGTCTGTACAGGGTAAGTGAAGAATGAACGAATGCCATGAATTTCTGCGTCCTCCCATAGGAAAATGCTACTAGTTCTTCTCCCATCCCAATTGTGTTCTGATGGAATATAAAGCTGACCAAATTTTATAGCCTAGTCACTTCAAAAGAACGGGGGTGGGGGTGGGGGGGAATGATGTTAGACTTGTTGAGATTATCTTGAAATTTACTCTTGATCTAAAACATTTCAAATATAATTATATCAGAACCTCTATTTGGTGCCTTCTAATCACTTCTTCCTAACAATACCACCTGTCATTTGCTATATTGCATCTGCAGAATGACAGGACTATGTGACATGGCACACAGTCACCCTTATTGATTTCTAATTAAGGATTTCACCATATTCTTAGACTCCATCCACCTCCCCCCATGCCTCTCTGAGATGACTGGTTTCCTGTGCAAACGGCATAATACCTCAGAGCCATGGTGTCCAGTTGCTGTTTTCCTATTGAATTTATTCCTCAAAGCTGTCAATTTTCCTGGGGCCAGAGAGATAGTACTGTGGGTAGGGTGTTTGCCTTGCACACGGTGAACCCCAGTTTGATCCTGGGCACCTTATACCATCTCCTGAACCCACCAGGAAACTTCTCAGTACAGAGCCAGGAGAAAGACCTGAGCATCATAGGGGGATAGGGCGTGGCATCCCCTCCCCCATCATGTCAATTTCCCTTTGGAAATGAAAGTGTTTCATACTTCCTTTGCATGCTGACAGGTTTCTTCCCTCTCCCCCTTCCCTGTTCCCCCAAAATGCTACAAAAATATCATCTTTCTCAAGCATGGTAAGTATGAAGCTCCCCTATCCATTTTCGCTCATTCAAATCGGATCAGTTCATTGTTGTTATTCTAAGAAGTTTTAATAAGAACCATTCCGTAATTATAATTTTAACTTTCCTCCACTTTTTTAATTTAATTTTTTTAATATTACCCTAGAAGAAACTTTTTCTTAGAGGGGAAAGTACTCTTTTTAAAGCTTTAAAGTACTGCTTTTTCACAGATCTCTACCATCTGCCTTTCTATAGACATAGACATTAAATTATTTTTTATTGATTGCTTCTTTCAGAGCAACCCTAATATCTATATGTGTATGTATATGTCACATGCTGACTTACCCTCATTATAGACACAGCATCTGCCGTGGTGCATCTATGTAGTATACACTCATACACACTTTGGACAGGTCCATTTTTCCCTACATAGAAACTCTGTGGTAAATATTGACTCCTCAATTCACTACTCCTTGAGCACAGTTGCTGGTTTAATTATGCTTTGCTAACAAGCTGTCATCAGAGATGCCCTGAGTCAAATCTTGAGGACATGTTGGCACTCAAATGCCACACCCTATTGCCTAAAAAACCCAAAGAAATCATCTTTGTTCAACCTTCTGAGCCTGTGTAAGACGGAGTCCTTGTGACACCCTCAGCAGCCACTGTTTGAATCTCAAACTTCACCAAAGCCCAAAGAGATGAGGACCAGAGAGTTTTAATATACCCAGGTGAGTCCATACAAGCTGGGAAAATAATGGCAGTGAGAATCTTGATGTGAGGACAGCCTCCTCGCCAACACCCAAGGGAGGGCATCCAGGCACACCTGACGTGGCTGAGGGTAGAAGCCCCCACATTGCAGTGGAGACTCTGATGAGGACTGAGAGGCAGAGTCTAGCTCCAGGGTGTGGTAGGACTCTGCCCCTTGCTCATTGCAGGAGCAGGTGGGGTTGTTCCAGAGGAGAGTGCCGAGCCCCACCTGCGCTCAGCCCGGGAAAGTAGCCCTGGAGGCTTCTGAGCCCTCTTCCCAGGAACCAGTGTAAGCACTTTATCTCTAGGTACTCTACAAAAGCAAAATGGCAATATTCTGCTGTTAGAGATGGCGAATGGCTCAGGGAAGCAGGTGACTGCTTCAAGTCCCCACAGCCCACATGTGATTCCATAGACATTCTGCCATATTTGGAATGTAAGACTGGCTCCTTCTGACACAAGGGCTCCAATATGTTCTTTGCCCCTAGGGGTCTTCCATCCACCTCTCTGAGACCATTTGCTTGGCTCCTGCCCTAAATGCCTTGAGTATCTTTTTCCAGGCATGCCTATGAACATCAGACAAACATCAGGTCATGTCTTCTAAAATAGCATCTTTTTCTAGAACCTTCCTTGCTATTATCACTGGACTAAAATGAAGTTTCTAAGACTACCGGGTAAAAATATTCCAAATCATTAACATGTTGAAATTGACCAGTGGATATAAAGAAACGGTTTTTAACACATATTTGGATCAAACTGACTGGGCAGAGGAACACTCTTTGTACAGAAAAAATGAAAGAGAGAGATTCGCACCATTCTCTTTTAAAAGCAGATTTTAACACTACTGCAACTCCCTACATTGTAATAATTTAATTCAAAACATGCAGACACTGTTTGTCTTTCCCGTCTCCACGGTCCTAGGATGCTGCTCTCTTTGCCAGACTTCACAGCTCCCCCAAGCAAAGATTCTGTTTCTATAGGCACCCCTGAAAACTGCGAGAGGCCAGGTTTTATGCTTTAATTATCCGCTTTGCTTTCAGTTCTCTGTGGAAGGGTAATTGCTGCTGGTCCAAATGAAAAAATCAATTGTAAGAAACCTGGCTCTGGAAACATTTACAAGAGAAATTGACGGAGAGGAAACAAACAGATCACCGCTTGAGTTCCCCTTGGAGATGAAGAACACAGCCATGCCCGGCATGGCGAAGCGTGAGGTAGCATCCCTGACCTCTCCTGCTCTCACCTGTTGGTGAACCATTCATCACATAGCTCCCTGGGGCCAGAATGACAGTGCTGCCGGTAAGGCTTTGCCTTCACACTGCTGACTTGGGTTCGATCCCTGGCACCCCAGAGGGTTCCCTGAGACACCCCAGGAGTGATGACTCAGTGTAGAACTAGGAATATGGTCCCACAACAAAGCAAAAAGGCAAAATCAGTAATAATGTAACTCCCAGGTATAGAGCACCTTCTCTGTGTGTGTCCAGGGAGGATGGTAAAGGCGAGTATCACGGCGATGGTATGAAGATGCTGTTGTTCTCTGCATCCCTTGCAAACTGGGGTTTGTTCCCCAACAGCCTCACCCACCTTTTCCACTTCCTCTCACAGCTTCCCTTGGCTCTAGCTAGATGTACCCTGAGTCTACTGGAAAGTCATTTCTACTCTGCTACACTGCTGTAATGTTTCTGAGGACATAGCTAAAAAACCATCACAAGTTTGAGTTAGAAAGTGATTTTGATTTGCACCTATTTCCTAAAAGAATTTTTCCACCGCGCTTCCCTTAGCAAACAGAAGCAAACAGTCTCAGCAAGAGAAAAACCAACCTCTGGAATCAACAGGCAAACCTCTCACCTCCAAGCCTGAACTCAACAGGCAAACCTCTCACCTCACAGCATCTAGTCGGGGCTCCCCAGCAAGCCTGATCCTCAGCCGACAGGGACAAAGAACAATACTCACGGGTGGCCCAGGGCTGTGTGATCTCTGTCCCTGCTCTCTCTCCTCGGTGACAGTTAAAAGGCACAGAGGATGTGATTGCCATTTATGTAGACACTGTCCGCCTTCCCAAAGCCAATCAGAACAGCTTGCTTCCTTCTTCACCCAGCGGGCTGCCTCTCCCTCCACCCCTGCCGCCAGCAGCCTGCTCCCACCGCCCAACAGGAGGGCTGCTAGGGCACAGCAGGGCTGAGGAGACAGAGAAGCTGGAAGTCGAGGGTCCAGAAATTCAGGAAAAAGAGCCTATGTTCTCAGTGGGCTATGTGGATGCCAGGTACAGACCAGTCCTACTGGAGACTGAAGTCCAGAACTACAATCAATTCTCTGCACTTATTACATTCTCTGATGAGTATTAATAATTTGCTAGTTCAGCTGGATTTTAGCACAATGATATGATCTATAAATTGTAAGAATGTTGCCCTTTGCCCCCCTGATCCAGGGACTGAACCTAGGATCTCATATTGCAAAGTATGTCTGCATTACTGAGCCACATCTCTAGCTCATGGTCCATTTATTTTAATTTCATTTTCCTTAAAAAATTGTTGTTGGGCCATATCTGGCGGTACTCAGGGCCCGTGCATGGCAAGCACCCCATCAGCTCTACTATCTTTTGGCCCTTATTTATTTTTCTTGTTTTGTCATACTGTCTAGACTTGTGCTGGCTGACTACACATCCATGATACACTTGCTACTGTGCCACGCCGGCAACGGCGTCGCCCATGTAGCAACATGCTGCAAGGGGGCTCAGGCAAGGGCCTGGGTCCCTGGGAATGGGAGGTTCGCGACCCACGGGTCTATGCCTCCGGCAGCCCCCTTTCTCTGTTTTCTAGGAGCCTCTGACATGCAGTCTTCACTTGCCATTCTGTGGGAATAAGAGCCTGCTTGTTAGATATCTGGATTTAACTTTTGGCCTTGGAAAGATGCTTGCTAGTAGAGTTAATATTAGTTTTTGTAAAGTCCTGATTTTTATATACCTGCTAGTAAAGTGGAGTTAATATTAGCTTTTGTAAAGTCCTGATTTTTTTTAGTTTATGGGTAAGCGTTTTTAGGGAAATAAAAGCTTAAATGTCAGTAAAAGCAGACAATAAAGGAATTATAAGGACCATAATATTTCACTCAGATATTTTATTGGAACAAGCGGATCTTCTGCCCTAATCTTAAAACAGAACGTGTACATGCCCCTTGATGTCTTGGGAACATGACCCATGGTCTGATGTAATGTGTGCTTTGCCACGTTGTTTCTGTAACTGTATAAGAAGAAGAACTCTGGATGCAATAAACCGCAGCAGCACTCAGCCTCTCTTGTGTTGGTGTCTGTCTGTCCAACGCGCCGAATCTCCTGCTTTCCTGTGCACCTTCGCCTGGTCTCCCCTCTGCGGCACTACTGAGTTTTTAAATATAACCAGTGCAACAGAGGAAATAGTGCTTAATTTCATCACTGAAGTATGAATCTAAAAACCGAAACTGTACAAAAATTTTTTTTGTATAAAATTTTAGCATATTTCATTTGATTTGTTTAACTCAATAAACCAATCCTATTAGAATGAAATACATGTCTGTCCTTGAGTGTTGCCCCTAGCATGCCTGGCACCTAGTCTGCATGTGACTGACACTGTTCGAAGCCTCCAGAACATTGTGAGGCAGCAGCAAAGGGAAAGAATACTCTAATCTGAATTCAAAAGCAGTGTCTCAAATTTATCTCTATTGAAAGTGCAGTTTTATTGAAAATTCTTATAGAATTGGTTTTTTTATTCCTATTTTTTTAAAAAAGAGTTTAATTTCATCAGTTAAATTCTGCATCAGGAGGAACTCATATGGTTTTATTTCACTAAATTACTAGTATTTTTTTGTAGTCATTTTATGCTTGGGATAAAACTATGATGTATCAGCATCAGAAGGGGAGATTTGGGGCAACACCTGAGGGTGTTAAGAGGCTGCTCCTGACTCAGCTCAGCTGGTGTTGAGGGACCATATGTGACACCATGGATAGAACCAGGACTGGCCATGTGCAAAGCAAGTGCCTTAACTCCTGTACAGCTGTCATTCTATGCTTTAACACTTTGTAACATAAATTTTGTCATTATTATATGAGCAAAGTTGCATTTATACAGTTTTAGTGTCAGATTTGATTTGTTAAACTGATTTGAGAAAAAATCCTTCAAAAAGTTCTCTGAAACAGTTTTTTTGGGACTCAGATTTTATGGAGATTTGAAAATATGCAGTCATAAGAGTATTTATTGGAAATCATACATAAAAGTTATTACCTCTTTCCACATATTTGGGTGAATTAAAAATATTTCTCTCACTCTTTAAACCCAATTTGATCTTATTTCATCAAAAATTTAAACTTAATGGTAAGTTTTTTTTTCATAATAAACTCATTATACACTAGCTCGCTGAGATAACAACGATCCTCTCTTTGTGACACTATTATTGATTTATTTCCCATGACTTTTGTCTATAGCTAATATTGTCAAAACTGTGAGTACAGTACCAGTCATAAAAATAGTCCAGTAGTGTATGATTTTGATGATTCTTCTGAATCCATCATTTTTCTCTAATTCCTGATCTTGATCCCTGTTATTGCCTGTATTCGATTTTTTTAATTTATTTACTCAGGTATAACTCCTCGAGGGCATGGAATATGGAAGAATGAACCTGGGTTGACTGCATGTAAGGCAAATGCACTACTTGGCCTATATCCAACTATCTTTAGGTTTATTTTGTTACTATTTTCCAAACATCTTTAATTGAGCAATAGCTTCACTAATTTTGGGCCTTCAATTTTCTATTTAAAAACCATTTAATATTTTATATTTTTTACGCACTGTTTTCTTTTTCCATCTCACATGCTTTATATTTTAAGTGCTTTTTATTGAGGCACCAGGATTCACAATATTAATCATACTTTTCATGCATATATCATTATAGAATCACATTTATCCAGTCAATCCCACCCTTCATGCACTGCTTTCAATGTCTCAACTTTTTTAATGTGACATTTTTCAGTATGATATTATTTAATATTTTCATTTGATTCATTAACTGTGTAGCTTTACAAAACAATTTTACATATAGAAAGCAGTGCTTGTTTAATTTTTTAAAATCCTAATTTAATTTTCTTTAGCTGTAATTTGGGCGATTTTTATGTGATAGCAATTTCCTGATAATGTTCGCACTTACATTATATGTGCTACATCCTCAGCTTTTGTAAATCTTTAATATTCACTTGGGAAAAAATGTGTTCCCTAATTATTGAGTAGTCCCACACGTCCAACAAACCAACTGTTATGCACACTTAGAAAACTTTTATAAACACTTACAGATTTTGATCTTGATATATTTCTAGTTTCCTATAATTATTGAAGATATATTAAAGTGATGCACTATGATGACAAATTCATGGATTCCTTCCCTCGGTTGTGCTAATATTTGTCTTCTATATTTAAGACTCTTCTATCATTAGTTGTATATTTGTTTAAAATTGTGTTATCTACTTGGTGGATTGAAACGCTCCATCACTTTTATGGCAATGAATGATTTCATAGAATACTGCAATGTTCTTGTTAAAATGTGGGTACAGCTGTTTTTCCCTACAGTTCAGCATTTTTGAGTTTTTTCACCTGCCAGGGAGAGTGAAGATGAGAATGACATCATAGCACATTACCGCTTCTTCACAGACTACTTAGTGGTGGTCTAAGTCTGGTGGGTATGGTTTAGCGTTGACGCTGCACCAACACTTTCTGACTTTGAAATAGCACAAACACTCTCTGTGAGTCCACCAGAGTGACAGCTCTGTGGAGTACCTCTGTTCTATATCTTTTCCAACTAAACAGACTGAATTCCACAATGAACTGCTCAGGAATAATAGTCCCCTAGTCATGAACCCATTGCACTGAATCTCTAAGCAAGGCCAAAGACATTCAAAGTTTTGTGGATGGATTCTTATCAGGGAACTGCAGATCTGGGAGCTCTGGACCTCCAATAGTTGACCTGCTTCTGCCCTCTAATTCCCCCTTAGAAACTAGAACCTTTCACCCTTTGTACAGCCACATACTTCCACTTCCCAAGTGTGAGCTGGAGCTTCCTTTGCCATTTCTCACCCCCTTACCCCTGTCCCCTCCTGATCAAGAGCCCTGCCCTTCTGTCTAAAGTCTTTGGAAACTACTCCCTGATCTCCAAAGAATTCTAGTAAGTCCTTGATGAGATACTTAGTATAGTGTCTGGGACATAATATGTATTTTAAGAATATAATTCTTGTCCTTAAGTTGTAAGGAAGTAGGTGACAGACATTGGAGAAAGAACATTTTAAGTGCTTATGTCATGATTACTAGCTGTGAGCTCATATAACATGTTCTTCAATTCTTCTCAATTTTCTCATTTGTGGAATAGGAAACAATCAAAGATCAAGAGTGTGGATCCCAACAAACACTAAACACTCCAAAGTTAATGGTTTATCTCACACTCCGTGGAGAAGCGACAATGTCTATTCAAAATCGTATCTTCTAAATTAGAATGATGAATTAGCAAAGACCTTTAATTTCCTCCAGTTGGTATACAGAGTATACATAGTATACTCTGACTTACCTCTAAGTGGGCTATACCATTTGTCAATGAAGAGAACCCTGCCCAGAGTTGCAGAGGTAATGAAGATAAGAGAAGGGTCGATATTTTAAAATTATCACCCATGTGCTGATATTTCCCATAGATTTTTCTTTTTTTTGGTTTTTGGGTCACACCCGACCTTGCACAGGGGTTACTCCTGGCTCATGAACTCAGGAGTTACTCCTGGCGGTGCTCGGGGGGACCAGATGGGATGCTGGGAATTGAACCCAGGTTGGCCGTGTGCAAGGCAAACACCTTACTCGCTGTGCTATTGCTTCAGCCCTTCCCATAGATTTTTATGTGCTTCAATCTGCACAAAAGATTGACAAGGCTGGCACTTATTGAAATCTTCCTTACATGGAGGAAGAAGTGGAAGCTCAGGAAAATGGAGTCTGTTCTGGTGGTAAGTATTTGGGAGAAGCTGAGTTCCGGCATATCCTGGTTTTGCTACCAAGAAGTTATAAAACCATTGCCAGCACCTCCTGGCCACACACTGGAGCTTACCATGTGAGTCAGTCTCA